CTTTTTCTTTTTTTTAAATATATCTTTATTGATTTCAGAGAGAGGAAAGGAGAGGGAGAGAGAGAGATAGAAACATCAATGATGAGAGAGTCACTGATCGAGCCCACAACCCAGGCATGTGCCCTGACCGGGAATTGAACCCCGATCGCCTGGATCCTAGGTCGATGCTCAACTGCTAAGCCACACCCGGCCAGGCTCCCCGCCTTTTTCTTAAAGACCTCTTCCACACTGCCTGACGAAGCATGTTCCTGTGAAGTCTGACACCCTATTCCTCTAATTTAGGCCTCTTTATGTCCATAGGCACTCTGTTACAATTTTATAACTTTATGGCAGCCTTTAATAAAATGTTTGTTTCCTTTGAAAGGAATGCCAGGATGTGGAACAAGGGCCTGTCTACCATTCTTTCAGGGCCCAGGAAAAGAGCAAACTTCAGTGTCCCAATCAATTATAATTAGAGCGGCAGCAAAGACAGTGGTGAGCCTGAGGCCTCTACAGCCAGTGATACATGATTCTGATTCTAGGTTCTATCATGTATGTGCTGGGAAAGCCAGGTAAAATCATTTTACAAAGCCAGGTTTCCCAATTTCTAAAAAGGGACTATGGGTTTTGCAGTGAAAAGCAAATTAGATAATATATGTGATGCCTGGCTCCAACGTCTAACACGTAATGGACATGGCTATTGTCTATAATTGCAAAGAGCTGGTATTTGTTCAATGCTGGAGCATAACAGAGCCCTACTGAATGGTATCTATGGAGCAGAGTAACTAGGCAGGTATAGACTCTGGGGAAAGCTGAGCTTTCAGCACCAAGAGGTTCTCTCAAATAACCAAGCAGACCCTTGAGTCTGTCTGCCTCTGAGACTGTTCCAAACACAGACACCCCCATCTCCTACTGGACTGACTTAAGTATAAAACAGTTTGATGAGAAACTAAACCATCAGGAAATATCTGCAGGCCTGATACCACCGACTAAAGAGGTAACGGTACCTGTTGTGGGATGCTGCCTGGTATCCAACCGCCAAAGCCTGTCTCAGGATGTCACTCACCAGCTGCTCCGTAGCCTACAACAGAACATGCCGTTACTCTCACAAATGGCCATCTGCTCGAAGAAAAGAAGGGACAGATCTGATCCCACCCCATGCCCTACACCTTGAAACAACTGTATCTAAGGATCAAAAGTCTCCAAGGAAAAATTAAAGGTTTGAATAATAGGCCATGAATAGTAGGCCACAATGACAGCAGCCACTACGCTGAGAACCTGAATGGGGTAATTTTCATTAATCAGAAGTTGTTTTCAAGGGAAATAAGGGAGGGTTACTTGTGAGGCATCCCTGTGTGGGAGGGACATACCAGGAAAGGAACTGCTGGACTCGGATCAGGCTGGGTAAGAAAACTGGTTTGTCATCCCCAGCTCAGGGATGGGACAGTGGTGGCTACTTCTCTGCTGCTATTGTGACTGACAGGTACAGAAAACCCAAGGGTCTGCTTTTGTCATCTGAAGCAATGAGAGCACCGACTGTCATCTCAACTACTTAAAAAGCACTTGAAATAACACTAAAAATATCGTTAGTGACATTAACAAAAAAGTTCTTATTGGAGATGCTTTAACAACCATACTTAAGTTCACTTAGAAGTCAGAAGAAAAAAAAGAGAAAACTTTAAGCCTGAATAAGATGAGAAATCTTAAAACTTATCTCTGTTCTGTTCCTGTCCTTGTCCCTTACTCTAAACAGCCTGGCATCCACCCAGCCTGCCCCACCTCGCTGGTCCTCTGCTGCCAGCAGGCACCCACCTTTAAAAGCATGTCCTCCACCACCGACGCGTACACATTCTTGTGAAGCGCCACGGGCTGCAGGGTGATCCCAATCTGGAAGAGCAGAAGGAAGAATTTGCTTCTATTTCTACATGAAAATAGTCTCTCCAAACAAATCTCACTTCTCTGATACGCAAGGAGATGTCCAGTTGAAACAAAATACCCATCTCTCAGTGTTTCTGAGTGATGGTTAAAAACGCTATTATAATCCTGCATTTACCCCCACACCCCCTTCATGGGAGAACATGATCAGGGTTTGCCATGAACTCTGATAGGGGACAACACACTGGAACGCCTGGATTCAGACTGAGAGGCCCTATCTGCAAAAGGTGGTGAAGGTGTACTTGGAAATTACATCTTGCCACATTTTTCATCTCCTCCTGAAGTGAAAACACCGCCTTTCACTTCGGGTCATGAGTAACTGGGTAGCGGATGCTGAATAGCTGCGGAGTTCCATCGAAGGGAGCGACTATAAGGTGCATCTGCACCATAGACAGGACACTTGGAAGCTATGAAAATGGGAGGGAAAGCTCACTCTCTGAAGTGTATCTTGGAAATATTACGATATGCCTCATGAGAGAAAGGTGTGGTGTTTCCACTGAGGCGAATGAGAAAAAAGGAGATGAAAGAAACCCTAGCTGCCTTTGCTTCAATTCCATGTTCAACAAGCAATCTTTTCACATGTAATTAATTTATTGCCCAAGGGCCCTGGTATGGGAAGCAGACCCCGAGTTTATCAGGCAGAAGCAAATCCCACATTTACTTCCCCAGAAAAGTCCGCGGCAGTTTATAAGGCTGAATGTATGAGCATCTCCCACCTGGTTTGTGATCTAGCAACACCACAGGCCACAGCCCTACCTTCTGTGTGATGTCACCAATAAATTCTGCCCCTGGTGTTGGTGGCAGGAAGAATTTCACTTCTTCCTGTTTCTCCTCCTGCTCTTTTTTGACGTTTATCTGCAACGGCTCCGAGAGGCTGAGCACATCCACCTCCTCCTCGTGCTCCGGCTCTCTCTTCTGGAACTGCTGGAGGTCCTCCAGCTTCCGGCACAGGCTGTCAGCCGAGGAGAATGACGCCGGGCACTCTAAATGAGAGGCAATGTCTGTGACAGCTGTGGTGACGAGAGAAAAGGACTTTCCATCTCGGCAATACCAATGGTCTGAGACCCAGAGAAGATTGGGCAAATATCAAGGGAACTGACCTCCTTTCTGGTTCTAAAACTCTATGGCTCTGTAATTATGAGAGCCAGTAACTCATGACGTGACAAGCAGAGACAGGTATCCTGTTAAGATGTATGGGATATAACCACCACCTGAGACAACACAGACAGTACAGAATTCTGACTTATGCCACCCCAAACTAGGCCACCTCCCCACCCCTCGAATAGTAATGACTCATTTTTTTCATATTTTAAATGTAGAAGAATTAGGAATGCACAGTGAAGAAAATGAAAATCACATATTCTCACTGCTCAGAGATAAGCACTGCTAACATTTTAGGTACCCCTTGCATCTCGTCTTAAGTTGTTTTATACAAAACCTAGCAAAGAGCATTAGAACTTTAAGCCAGCAGGGGCTCTAGGCATCTTCTAGGGCATCCCATTCACTTTATACATAAGTGAATGAGGTCCCGACCTGCCGCAGGATGGGCTGAGGGCACCTAGCAGGAGGGTGGCAGAGCATCCCGCTCCTGGCTTCTTCTGTTTTACTGACTGGCGTTCACAAATTAATCAGTCATATTAGCAGAGATCCGAGTGAATGCACAGCATCAGGCCATACATTTACTACCAGTGAGGCACGGAAGTAGTCAGCATGGTCTCTGCTCCCCAGAGAGCTTAGCTGCATAAATACGACACACCCTGCAGGTTCTGTATTAAGTGCTGCTGGAAATCAGAGAAAGGAGAGGTCATCCCGCATTAGGGCTCTTGGGAAAGCTTCATAGAGGAAATGGGACTTGTCTATGTCTTAAAGGAACCCCACCCTCCCTGTGCTCCAAATTCCCTCACGCTGGGAGGGGGAGCTTGTTTTTATACAGAAATGGGGTTTGGAGGAGAAAACAACCCTTTTTATTCTTTAAGGTGAAACTCAAAATATTCTCCCCATATATCTTTTTTGCCCTGCTCCCCCAGCCAACAACACAGTTGCTTATGTCTTTATCATAAAACAATTCCTTTTGTCTACAACATTATTAGTTGTTTACACCTGGGTAGGGCACTTCATAGTCAGGTCTGGAGATGAAGTAACAGATAAGACAGTGTCCCTCGATTCAAGGAGGTTGGATAGACTTGTTTGTGAGGAGCTGTAAGGTCACAAAGGAAGGAGAAGTCACTTCTACCTGGAAAGGAGGTATATTAACAAAGTCTTCCAGGAAGAAATGGTGCCGAGGAGGAGACTCTTGGACAGACAGTGGGTGCCTATTGTATGACCTGGGCCAGAACATTCCTGGCTGGGGCATAGCACTTGGGACACTTGGGCACACATAGTTTTGTAGGAGCTGTATGAGGGGGGCACACGGTCAGAGATAAGCGAAGGCTCCTGGTCTCCATGGTAACTCACAGAGTCCTAGGTCAACTGCTGGGGTCTGAGAGGAGACCGTGTGCCATGGAAACACCCCTCTGGTTGCCGAGGATACTCAGTGAGCTCCCCTAAAGGCTTACCCGGCTCGCTGTCGATCTGGGTCAGCACGTCCTCAATAGAATCCCCATCGCTCCTCAGGCTCTCGGGGTCAGGTGGGGTGTAACCATGGCAGCGACACCAGTGAGCAATGTGCTTGGTTTTAAGGGGCGTCAGGTGGTGAAATCTTGGGTTCTTCTCCAGTATTTCTTGTAAGACTTTTCGCATTGTCATTGCTCTTTGCCACTTAAAAAAATGTTTTTGAATCATAACCAAATTCTTCAACTTAACAGCATGTTCAAACAAATCACCTGTAAATCACCCTGCTAACTTGTTAGAATTATTTTTTCCTAAGGAAAACAAATCTGTGTTACTCCTTAATTTAAAAAAAGGGAAAATAACTTTTCTCTAATGCTTATAAAATAAAACAGATCTCCTAGGTTTGGCCTATAAAAGTTTTGGTCTCAACCTATGCTCTCCCACCTCCTCTCCCTCCCCAACCTTCCCCAGACCCTTCACCCTGGCTTTCTCACAGCTCCCGAGCATGCCTTCATACACGCTATTCCCTCACGACCCTCCTGTCTGACATAGTAGCTGCTGCACTGTAGGTACTCAATAAACACCTCATTTAATTTTAATATCGTGAAGTTCATTTAAAAAATTATAAATGTTTACCAATGCAAGGAAAGGAAGACCTTTCAAAGGCTTGCTATGAGTCTTGAAGAACAAGGTATTTAACTGAGGGAAAAACTGTATCAAATACTTAAGAAAAGACGCTTCCCATTTTGTCACTGTTCCTCATGACAAGGCCGCGGCAGCCAGAATGCATGTGTTTTGGTTCTTCCCCCCACAGGCTCTCGGGGGCCTGCACAGCACACAGGCAGACGTGGATTACCTCAGCGGCCCTCCTCTTTCCTATGTTCCAGCCATAGTACTGCTCCACAGACTTCGCAGAAAAACAGCTGGCATCTTCACCTAGAAGGCACAGACCCAGCAAACTGAGTAATGATTTAATTTAAGTCTTATCTGCTGGAGGCACGTCCAAAATTTCTCTAGACTTCTTTACTGAAGCAGGTTCCTTACAGGCCAAGTTCAGACGCTTCTCCTTTAAGAGAAGGCATCTTATTTGTGTGCGCTCAAAACAGCACCCTCTTTGGGGAATCGGCTTCTTTGGCAGAGAAAGGGAATCTACTGGCTGAAGCTACTAAAGTAAGTGGAAATGGCACTTCTGCAGGAGCCAGGAGACCCGAGACCTAGCTCTGGCCTTGCCATGAACGATGTGGCCTTGGGGAACTCGACATCACCTCTCTGGGCTTCAGTTTTCTTATCTGTGGAATAAGACTGTTGGGGAGGAGGGTTTCTGGTCTACCTTCCAGCTCTAACACTCTGTATTTGTACCCACATTTTCTTTAAAAAGAGATTTTTGAATGTTTTTTCCTGCTGGGCTATGAAAATGTCACTGCAAGTTTACTCTAAACTACCTCAAAATGACCCCTCAAATTTCAACCAGGAAAAAAGATTTCTTTGTTACTACACTTGGAATAAAATACACAGGGTAGTCTGCACTTGGCTTACCATGTTCATATGCACATGAATGTAACATTACATGACCATGTGCTTCATCCCTTCCGTCTAAATGTTCAGCGTGATCTTGCCCAAGAACATACACCTAAGGATCACAGCTGTCTGCTCCCTGAGTAAGGGCTGCTGATTCTGTCAGAACAACTGTGCTGAGAAGCCAGTTACTCAGTCTGGCTGACAATGGCAGTGACAGCGTAGACTTCGCTGCTGGAGGTCATGATAATCATGCCTTTCTGCAGTGAGTGACAGTAAGTGGTGGAGGGAAGATGAATGGCTTTGGAGTCAAACAAAACTGGGTTTGTATTCTGTCTCACTACCCAGAGCTAGTGATTTCGTGCAAGTTACTTCACTTTATCTCTCCCTGATCTTCTCATCTGGGAAGAGATGACAACACCTATCCCACGAGAGACTGATTAAATAAAACAGTAAATGCAATGAGCCTGCAGAGTCTAGCACACTGTAGACAAGTGCTAATTTCTTTCCTTATTAATAAACACTAAAAACCAATTTGGTTTTAGTTATATACACAACAGATTAATGATTTACATACAAGAAATGTGAAAAATTCCTCCTACAGATCAAACACTAAAGATAGTACAAAACCAACTGGTTGACCAAGACAATGAATTCTAAAACCCTGCAAGTGAGCTATAGCTATAGCTATAGCGAAAACCTCCTAAGATAACCACCACCATCAGTATTAATACAACACAAGTGATTTAAGTTCACTCAATATCCTAAGCAGTTCACAGCTTTAAAAACACATCCATATATTTAGTGCGAGAGCCTTACTTTCTGCAGTGATCAATGGGATCTTCTTAACTACTGCTGTTAAGAGCTGCTGGAGAGTCTCCAAATGGTCTATCCTGAGATGATGGAAAAAAGAAAAGAAAATTAAGGCTGTAAACATACATAACAATCTCAAGGCAGGTCTTTGCTTCTATAGATGGCCTTCTTTATAAAAGATCATTCTATGCTTCTACAGAAAACATGAGACTAAACAAACAGATGAGATCCCAGGAATGGCAAATTATGCAAATATCACACATTTTATTTTACTCATATTATGAATAGCCACACAATCTTTTTGCTGATTGCCACTGGAGCAGAAAATTCTATCACACAAATGCCTATGTGAGCATTATTCCAGTTCACGCTGCCAACTACCATGTCATAGTGGCTAATTTTCTACTGTCCCAGCAGTCTGAGATACATCAAAACATGTGGTCAAAGGAGGGTTCCCAATTTGGAAACTAGAATATCTTATGAAGTATTCTTAGAAGCAATGAGTGTGTATGGCCCATTGAAAGGCAGCTGTTTAGGCAGGTATGTGGGTACTTGATACACAAAATGTGTATACCCGAGTAATTACATCATGCACAAAGTATATATACATGCTGGTGAGCTCGCTGGAGGGAGATCTGAAATTTCCCAAGGGTCCTGAGGCGACAGATCAAGTGCTGCCTCAGATCCATCAATGTGCAGAATAGAGAGTTGGGAGCTGTGCATCGAGTGGTAACACTGTTCACTGCACACGGACAGGTCTCCACCAGGCAAAGCGCTTAACCCTCCACACACAATTCCACACATGCTCAACTGTCCTGGGCATAATTTTTTAAAAGTTTGAGAAAAACATCCAAAGCACAACCCTTAGAAAGGACTGAAATAATTACTTAATAACATAGTTTCCCAGCTCGGAACTTTCTTCTGTTTTCACTGCTGTCTGACCCTCCTGAGAGAGGCAGCTTGGCCCAGGCGTTTCTGGTTCAGTCTTCACTACAAGGGACAAGCAACAAAGAGTGAGCTGTTAAGAATCAGTGAGGGGAGGACACGTGCATGCAGAAACAAAAGCCCTTCCGTGGAAGCCCAGTGAGCAAACTGTCACACCAGGGGACTGAGATGGCGCCTATCATCATAGGGTCAGCAGACAAGGAAAGAACTGTTAGCTCAGGTCTCATGGGTCTTTGTATCACTGTCTCCTTAATCTGGCATGCCCTTGACCTCTCCACAGCTAAAACTGCTCCACTCTTTTGTTTTTATTTTTTAAAAATTTATCTTTATTGTTGAAAGTATTACAGGTATCCTATCCTTTTCCCCCCGGTTGCCCCTTCCACTTATCTCCCACCCCCTCCCCAGGCCTTCACCCCGTTAACTGTGTCCATGGGTTATGCATATATGCATATAACTTCTTTGGTTAATCTCTTCCCACCCTC